CCCCAAAACCCCAAAACCCCAAAACCCCAAAAGAGAGCAATTTATTGGCATTACAAATAATCTAAATAAATAGCCATATTATTTCATATGCGAGAGAAATGCGTCCATATTCATAATTGCGAGATATTATTATTATTTCTGCGCTGAAAGCCCTAATCGTTAGAACCCATTATTTTTATGGCGTTATTATTAAAGTTCTCTAAACTTTGAGTGTTCTAGAAATTATTCCTATTGAATGAAAGATCTCTTTGAGAACTAATCAAATTCATGGATTAGTCCAGAAAATCTTTATTTTTTTGCTGTCTTAAACTGCTAAAGCTTCCTTCTCTTAAATTTTGAATTCCATTTGTATCATATGTCCTTCCTAGTGGATTATTATCCAAGTATCTAAGTTTTCCTAATGCTCTGGTGCCACCAGGTACTGATGCCTTAGAAGTTGGAATAAATTCATATGATTTATTATTATTGGTGTCAAAAACTTTATGACTTGAAATCTAATTTTACTAATCCTAGTCTTATAAATTAGAGGACTAATTAACTTCTGGATTAAGATTTCTAGATTTAGTAGCTGATTTCTGGTTTGGACTGTAGTTATGCTAAACTCCTGGTATTAAAGCATATTGTTTATTATCGAATTCTTTATATGCTGATAAATCGGCTTTATTTAGCTTTTTCTCTTAGTTAGTCATATTACCGAAATTCCTCATCATAATCATATTGATATTTCTTTAATTATCAAGTATTTTCCGATAAGACTCTTATTGCTGCTTTCTTTCATTTTTAAGACTTATTTCTTACTAACTTAGCATCTAGTTTTGGTTTTATCGGTTTACCTAATCCATATATAGCTTCTCCTTATCAAGAGCCTTTATTTGATCCTTTAATTACATCTACTGCTTAAGTTGATTTTAAGTCACAACATAGGAATGAGACCTCTACCCAGATTCTTACTCCTTTTTATCGTTTATCTAGTTTAGAAAACTTGTATTATCATGGTGATTTGAGTTTGTTAATTCGCGGACTCTACGAGGAGTTGGCTCAAGTTACTAAATGGCACTCATATATAAATTTTTCTTATATCTCTCTTAGTCATTGAATCTATCAAATTTCTATCCAAGGAAAAAATTAAAACCCTTAATTCTTACTTGCTTATATTATCTTTGATTTTGAATTTGCCAGTCATTACTTTGCTGCAAAAGTTGAGGTATCTCCTGCTTTTCCATTTGATTTTTCAACTTCTCGAATTCCTTGTACTTGCTTTTTTGCTCATAGTCCTCACGAATTTCATTCTGCTGCATCTATCTCTTTTAATTTAGTTAATTCTAGTAATCTTGCTAATCTTTCTTTGCTTTTTCAAGGATCTAGGTCTCAATATCTAGATCAAATTACCTCTGTAAAAGATAAATTAACATATTTTTATGATTTTTATTACCTCTAAGCTAGATTTTTGTTTAATATCAAACGCTTATCTTTTATTCATGTCTCCAACTCTTCTTTTAATGTTAAATTTATAATCATTTAATTCTTTGTTCTTCTCATCTAACGCTCTCTTTTGCTCATTCGTAAGGTTTAATTCCTATTATACTAATTAATCCTGCATCACCTTTTGCTATCTTTTTTAGTCCAAATCTTTTGCTAATTCATCACTATATAAAGCCAAATAAGTATATATTTTTGTGAATAATATTGAAATGTAGTAATCAGATTAGTGATAATGTTTTAGCTATTCTTACTAGTATTTACGCTTTTATTAAACATCTTGTTAAACTTTCTATTGCTATTCCAGATGAAACTATTCTTCTTAATGCTTGATTACTGCACTCCATTCATCAATAATCCCTAATACATGAACAGTTATTTAATGAAGATCTCATTAATTAGATTAAATACCATTTTTATGATGAATTGGATAATATCTCTTATTTTCCTCCATTAGTTTCTGAATTTTTTCCTCCTTCATATCTATCGGCTTCTTTATTCCATAAGTTCTCAGCTTAAATGGATCAATCTATAAGATTACTCTTGACTTCAATGCAGCACTTACCGTAATATCAGACATTGAAATATAAATAGTTTTGATTGAATTATATTAATTTTATTTGTATACCAACAGAATATATTTTATTCTTAGAAATATATTAGCAAGTTTTTGATGCTAGGGGTTTTGGGGTTTTGGGG